AGTTTCAATTTGATTTTCTTCGTACGCCGACATTTCATTTTAAGTAGCAATCACAACATGTGATTTCCTTGCCGTAGCCACCTAAACTACATGTCTATTGCTACAAAAATATTAAATGATATTGGGTTAGGCAAAATGAACATATAAAAATATTTGTGTTCAAAACAACTACTTAACTGTTAGTTATTTTAGCTAGTGTTTACTACAATTTTCTACCGACTACAAAAAGAAGGAGGTACTCAATTCGACTGTGTGTTCTTTTTTATGTGTTACCTATGAACCGATTTCGATGATTAATTTTTTTTGTTTGAAAACTGGTGCTTCTCATGTGGTCCCATATAAATTTGATCAAGGTCTGACTAATAGTTTTTGAGTTATTCTTAATAATGTATATTTATACGTGGTAGAGCCATGCTGCAGCTATATTACCAGTATAGTTGTAGCACGAATGGGTCGGCTCTTCCGTGGTAGGACCACGCTCTCAGAGAATACCAGCGTAAAATGGCAGCTTAACGCTGCTGTGTTTCGTATGGTGATTGTAGAGAACCGGAGACCCTTTTTAATGGAAAAGAAGACTTCTATCTTTGTCCTTTCGAGACAAAGCGCATCTGCATTTTGATTCTTTATTGAGGATAGATGTAGATGTCTACATGTCACAGCAACCACTTACCATCAGGTGGACTGTGTGATCGTTTGTCACTCTATCCTATAAAAAAATCTCCTGATATGTTTCTCTCTGTCGCCTCCTACAGCACCCACGGGAACATATAAGGTAATGGATATTTTTACAACGCCAACACGGTCATATTTTTACACATTTATTGTTAAATATTAATAATAATACCTTTCAACACGTAATTTTTAGATGTCATTGAAAAATAATTTTCTTCAACACCATTTAAGAAATTATAGGCCCGCTAAACATATGACGACGAAAATATATTCGATATTGACTTTCAAACACCTCTTTCAATAAATTTAAGTATGCGTTTTACAATCCCTTTGTGTCTACAAAAATAAAATCTGCGACTGTTCGTCGAGTGTTTCGCATAGCGTAGTCAATAGGTCTTAACAAAAGGCGGTCCCGACAAAACGTAACAATGTTGCTTCGTCGCTACTGTCGGAAGATTAGACGCTAGGGTTGTCCTGTTTGTACTTTAGACTTTTAGACCAATTGTTTCAAGATCTACTGTAATGAGTAATGACTATTGATAAAAATCACGAAGTAGAATTTTGTGAAGCAAATAAAAAGAGGTCTTGTAAAATAATGTAGGTATTAATTCAATTTTAATAGTTATTCGGAATATGAAATGTAATAAATTATATGAATATGTGTGAACCTGTTTAGTCTTGTACTAACGTTTTTTTACGTGGTAGAGTCATACTGCAGCTATATTAGTAGTATAATTGTAGCACGAATGGGCCGGCTCGACCGGGGAGGGACCACGCTCTCACAGAATAATAGTGAATGTAGAGAACCGGAGAGCCTTTTTACTGGAAACGAGGCATTCCATCTTAATCCTCAAGGGTGACAACGCATCTGCATTTTGATTCATAATCGAGGATAGATGTAGATTTATATGGGCCACAGCAACCACTTACCATCAAGTGGACTGTGTGCTCGTTTGTCACCCTGTAAAAAAAACGTGTGGTAGCAACGCAAGACAATTGGACACTGTTACAGAAGATGAACAGCAGTATCCTCCTAAAAACAACTAATTCACAATGATAAAAAACTGCGGTTGCTAACCCGTCTGCCGAACGTAACAATTATGACAAATATAAGTCAATCTACGGGAGGTCTATGTTCATCGCTGGACTTTTGATGGTATGTAATGAATAAATGAATATCAAGGCATTCCATCTTAGTATTCTTAGTATTCAGTGTGATATATTGATGATCGATGAAAAGATTTATGGGTCTCAGTATCTGCTTATTTTTAAATTGACTATAAACTCGTTTGGTACCTGTTGAATTTAGTTTAATGTGTGGTGAAGACGTAACAGAAGACTATGGAAAAAGCCAAAAAAATATCATTCAAAGGTGCGAGAGGTTTGGTGCTGCCAATTTGCTTGCCAAGCGTGTCGCGGACTGGAAATATTACTTACAATAGGGAAGGTCTATATCCAACAGTTGAATATGGCGGGCTGATAAAGTAAAATATGTTTTTAGTAGTGTCATTCAATTTCATAGTGCGAATAGAATAATTTTCGATTTGTTTTAAATTAAACATTTAACCGCGTAACAACGTTTACTAAGGTACTAAAATTAAAAAAAAAGATGTATTAAACTTTTTTTTTATAGGTGACAAACGAGCACACAGTCCACCTGATGGTAAGTGGCCACTACGACCCATAGACATCTACATCTATCCTCAATAAAGACTCAAGGTGCAGATGCGTTGTCACCCGTGAGGACTAAGATGGAATGCCTCTTTGCCAGTAAAAATGGTCTCCGGTTCTCTACAAACACCATACGAAACACAGCAGCGTTAAGCTGCTATTTTACGCTGGTTTTCTGTGAGAGCGTGGTCCTTCCCCGGTCGAGCCGACCCATTCGTGCTACAACTATACCACTAATATAGCTGCAGCATGGCTCTACCACGTATAAACTTTATATAAATTAGTCACTATTTTCTGAATTCCTTAAATAAATCTCAATGAAATTAAATATCTGAAATAGATTATAAAATCCTGCCCTGAACGATTTGGTTCAGTTCGGTATTGTGCAATACAAAATTCTATCACACGTACGTAGATATATGTACATCAACGTGTCGACCTTTGAAATTACCTCGACGATTGGGTTCGAAATATGAATGGTAAATTGGATGGCACCGGGGCCCCCACATGCCGACTTTATGCCGCCCTGTCCTACTGAACAACGCTTAAGAAAATTCCATGAATGCAAAATAAGCCACTAACATCGCCAACGTATTGTCTTCGTTCGTGTTTTGCCTGATTAGAACTTACTGTAGATTGTATGGGCTACTTTCATATAGTAGTTTACGTCAACATATTTCGACTAAGTTACGCTACGGTTGAAAGAGAAAATTACCTATTTATTTGCACTAAAGCTGTTATTTGCTATGTTTATTCGTGGTTTTAAATTTATATATAAATCATAACATAATATATTATGACATAAATGTAAGTACCTAATAAATGTCTAAACAATTTTTAATTCACTAGCTGACCAGGCAGACGTTGGTCTGCCCTTTCCGAACGACCATTTGCTTTCCTAAAAAATCTCCTGAAATTAGCAATAAAAATTAAGCGTATAAAAACTATCCTATCTCTCAAGTTGGACCAAATTGCACACAGTGTGCAAAATTTCATTGAAATTAGTTCAGTAGTTTAGAAGATCATCAAGGACAAACAATGTGACATGTAATTTTGATATATAAAGATTATTATTATCATAATTACAGCTTAGCACAACTCTACTGCTGATCATAGGCCTCCCGCAAGGAATGCCACAAATCATGGTTCTGAACCACCTGCATCCATCAACATCTTGCATCTCTTACCAGGTGGTCATTCAATCTAGTAGGGATCGCCCTACACTTCGCTCATCGTTAAGAGGCTGCCCCTCGAGAACTATTCTATCCTATCGGTTGTCAGATGTTAGAGCTATATGGCCAGCCAACTGTCACTTCAGCTTACTGATCCTTTGAGATATGTCGGTTAATTCAGTTCTACTGCGCATGGACTCATTACGTTTACATAAAAAAAATAAGAATATCACTTCTTGTGAGTAAACCTCTTGTAACCTCTCAAAATCTATTCATTTTAATAAAATTAAAGTGTCTGTCTGTAATACTGAAATATTTTAATATAGCTCAGACGGTGATTTGCATACCATTGAGACATTGATCATTGTACGTCGGTCTAATTAAGGGAATAGCAGAAAGAGTAATCAAAGCCATATTTTATCCGTAAACCCTGGAGTCTTATTTTTGTGTAATTGAAAAATTCATTGATGATAAGTTTGACTTTAAAAACTCAAACTTATCTAAGTGACAACACATTAATAAATCTCAACCAGGCAAAGCCAGGGTGGGTCACTAGTAGTTATATACATTTATGTACATAATATATTTAAATTCCTAGGAATATAAAGTCAGTTTCCTAGGATATACAAACTGAGGTAGACCTTTCTGCCCCAAGAACCCCTTATAGGAATTAAATAATTTGTGCCTAGAAGTAGGATAAATAGAAACGGTATTTTTTTTTTACAATGACGTTATAACTAGCTTATACTTACCTACTTGTAGAAGGTTGGATAAAATCATTACAATGATACCTAACAGTAAAAACTTTAAGTAGGTAATCACCAAAAAAGACATAAAACTTTACAAAAACCGTTATAAAACTATCATAATAATTACCGTCGAAACAAAAGTAACAGACAACAGCCACTGAACCTACAATATAAAAACGCAGCGGCGTGGCAAAACTGACTAACTTTTAAAACGTTATATGGCAGCAATAAAACGTTCGTTCCCGTACGAGCACAATACTTGCAGAAATATTTTTGAATACGGAATTAGGTTTACCAAAAGCGCGGGGAGCAGATAAGGCTGAAAAAAAAAACAAATTTGTAACGGGTAAAGTTTTTGGAGGCGGAATGTCTCCCTTGGGTGCTGAATCTTCGTCGGCGTGGCTCGTAAAACGCGGGACGTGGGCAAGCGGGCAAATTTGTCCTGAGAGCGACCTATGACGTTTTGATGGAACGTATCCCGAACGATTCACACGCTCTAGATTCATATTCATAACCAAACTCTGTAGTGTTCCGCTATCGGACCAGTTTATCAACCTTTTTTAAAAATGAATTGTGTATTTTACAAACTTTGTGTTGTATTAATTTGTATAAATAAAAACCATGCTTCAGAAATCTCGTTATAACTAAAACTCCATTTTAAACTACTCAAAGAAAGGCGCACGAATGTCCCTTGCATGATGCTCGCCTCTTCAAAAGAATGGCACCCGTGTCTAAGCTATCTTGTAGGAATTTTAAATTGGACGAATCGCTCAAATGTAAATGGTTTTCCTTTATACCCCATCCTCTTGGGCTGCCCACCCCCATCTATTGCGCGCCTAGAGGCGACTGGCATACCAACACACTCGCACACACATTCATGAAAGCCTACGTCGTATATTACCATTGGATTTAGACCTCCGCACTTGCATTCGTCATCCGATTTTCGTCTGACTTTGCATACTGGAGCGGGGGCTGCGGTGGGTCTAATTATATTAGTATCGTTAAGCTAACGCTTACAACACACAAATCTCACACAGGCTCACATCTCATCTCGAATATACTACTAACAGTAATGCGAGTGTGAATACGTAAATACGCTTCGAGATCGCGAGTTCAAAAACGCGAAAAGCAATATGTCTTCATAGGAAAACGGTGCAGGAAAACTTTTTCGGAGACTCTAACAAAAGAGTGCGACTTACTATCGGTAGAAGGATCTTTTTGACATTTTTTTATAATTTGAAATGATTGCTTAAAACGTAATTTACGTACATATATTATTGTATTTATTTATTTAAATGTTTAAGCAAAAATATGTTTGTATTATAAGAGTGACAATTTGGCTACAAATTTTCTTTTTGTTATTTTTTCTTGTTGCAATGAACTTCAAACAAAGAAAGCCACAAACCATTATTAAATGCCTGGCAATATGTAAAAATATTGCGAAATTTCTCCTAGCACTAACTTATTATATGATATGAATTTTAGGACGTAGATAGATTAAACCTTTGTTTGTTTTCAATGACAAATAACTTTAATTAGTAAAATAAAATAATAATTTCAACTAAAACTACAAAACAAAACGACTTCATAACTATAAGCAAATAAAATAATTTACACGTAATGACATCTGAAGTCACTGCTTAGACATTGTGTATCAAATAATGAATATCCCGACTTATATTTATATATAAAGAATTGTTCACTAAAATTATTATGAAATAAATCTGTTATAATAAGAAATTTGCTAAGAATATACACTATAGATAGATACTGGCCAGTGAAGACAGTACCGCCTATCCAATTATTTTTGAGAATTCCTTGAAGTAAAAGGCAGTGCCTTTGTATAAGCTGGAGTTAAAAGTTTGCATACCAGTTCTACATACGAGCAACCTTAATGCATCAATGTTGTGCACCAATTTCATGCCGGCACACCGCCTGTAACTTTACAAGGCGCAGGTTCGGCCTCACATGGAATACTGTTCCCATCTCTGGGCAGGGGCTCCCCAGTGCCAGCTCCTTCCACTTGACCGCATCCAGCGCAGAGTGGCTCGAAGTCGACGACCGAGCCCTTTCCGATCGGCTTGATTCATTGGCACTGCGAAGAGATGTTGCATCCCTTTTCATTTTCTTTCGCATCTACCATGGGGAATGCTCTGAGGAATTGTTCGGATTAATCCCAGCCGCCAAATTTCACGAACGCACATCGCGGCAGAACTCCCGATACCGTCCACACTATCTAGATGATTGGCGGTCCACCACTGTGCGATTTAGAAGATGTTTTCTTCCTCGCACGACTTCCTTGTGGAATCGATTACCATCAGCGATTTTTCCGGACCGATACGACTTAGGGACCTTCAAGAAAAGAGAGTACTCCTTTTTAAAAGGCCGGCAACGCATCTGCAATTCCCTCCCTGGTGTTGCAGTTGTTCATGGGCGGCGGTAGTCACTTACCATCAGGTGAACCGCATGCTCGTTTGCCCCCTCTCCTATAAAAAAAAATTCTCAGTAGCATTACGGAGTCAGAACTTTGGCGGCGTTTCACCCGCGTGCCTCAGAAAACAGGTAAAGCCGGTAGTCCTGCGCCTGGTCTCTCTCCTGTTGTGTCGGATTACCGTCCTATCGGACTGTGAGAATAAGGGAATAGAGAGTGCAGCACCTGCAACACCATACACCTGTCCTGCGCAGATGGATACTTTCTGTTGAGATTGGCCACCGTGATCCAACTTCGTCCTGGAGGACATTATTAAACAAACGTAGGGAACATTAAAATTATTCCAAAACAAAAATCATATCAATTTCAAAGGCATTTCACACAATTATTCCCACAATTCCCGCTATAATTAGCATTTAATAAAGTTAGAGGGTCAGACTTTAAAAGTGGTGGGTATGTTGATTTTCAAATAATAAGCTATATGTTGGTTATTCGAGAATATCGAGGACCCAAAACCTTGCAAATAATAAATCACACGATTTGTCTTACAATTCAATTTTACTTTAATACCTTCCATTTACTGCAATGTTGCCAATTTGAAATTGCGTTCTTAACTAGTTTTTCGGGCTAATTGTTATTGTACTAATTAGACTCAGAATAATTTATTTCGTGTATTACAAAGATGTCAGCTACATTTTTATAGAAGAATGGTGACAAGCGAACACACAGTCCACCTGATATAGACATCTAAATCTATCCTCGATTAACAATCAAAATGCAGATGCTTTGTCACTTTGGACTAAGATGGAATGCCTCATTTCCAGTAAAAAGGGTCTCCTATTCTTTCCACTCTCTATACGAAACACAGCAGCATTATGCTGCTATTTTACTCTGGTATTCTTTGCCGGGGAAGGTCCTTTACCGATCGAGCCGACCCATTCGGCTACAACCATAATATAGCTGCAAGTGGCTCTTCCACGTTGAAAAGCTTCATGTAATATAAGATTCAACTATGTCTTACCTTGTGGGAATACAAAGTCAAATAAAAATAAACAACACATTATTAGATATACAATTTAAGAAAAAAGTTGAGCATTTCGGAAATATAATTGTCATTATAATGTTAAAATTTAAGAAAACAAAAATGCGCATCGATCATGAGTTTTGAGAATTATCCTGGTGATCCTGATCAGGACACTAGGATAAAGTTATTAAATTATTGTATTGTCATCGGTCCTTGATACGAGTGCAAATTTTCAAGTCAATCGGCCGTCTACAAGTTGGTGAAAGTTACATTAAAATATTCCGTTACATAGGTATAGATAGATACATGCGAAGTTAATAAAAGATTGTTAAAAAGTTGGGTAATGACTAGGTACGCAAATTTATTAAATAATGACTATGCAATATTTTAAATATAAATAAATATTGATATATGTAATTGTTTTTCTCTTTCACTTGAATTCTTAAATTTCATCATTCATCATCATCATCATTACAGCCTTTCACTAGTCCACTGCTGAACATAGGCCTCCTCCAAGGAATGCCACAAAGCACGGTCCTGAGCCACCTTAAATTTATTTAAAATAATATTAAACAAAGTGTAATAAAAAATAATATTTCTATTAATAACCTATTGTTAAAGTACTTCATTAATGAGTCAGTGATAAATACAAAACCAACTTTAGGTATTTGTTTAACGGTATGTTATATAAATAATTTGAACACAACGGGAAATCAATTTTAGATAGATATCTAATTCTCGAAGTGATGACACTCAGTTTTGGGTTGTAGCAACAGAAATATAATTTTCGGCTATTAAGGGGACAAATACGCTAGTAAAAGCAAATATAATATAATAAATGTGAACATAGGCTGAGACTTTTCGAAATTCTACGTGGTAGAGCCATACTGCAGCTATATTATGGTTGTAGCACGAATGGGTCGGCTCGACCGGGGAAGGACCACGCTCTCACAGAAAACCAGCGTAAAATAGCAGCTAAACCAGCTGTGTTTCGTATGGTGAGTGTAGAGAACCGGAGACCCTTTTTACTGGCAAAGAGGCATTCCTTCTTAGTCCTCACGGCACGGGTGACAACGCATCTACATCGTCTTTATTGAGGATAGATGTAGATGTTTATGGGTCACCGTAACCACTTACCATCAGGTGGACTGTGTGCTCGTTTGTCTACCGATCCTATAAAAAAAATGCTGTCGTTTTCCTACCTACGCGTTGACGAAGCTGCGGGCAAAAGCTAGTACATCTATAATCTAGCTAAAATTATCAAGTACTTTTAAGAAAATTTAAAAAAGGGCATATTTTAATAAATATGTTATTGTCTACTTTTTCTCTAGCTACCACAAATCTTGTAATAAAGTAATATTTCAGCTCGTACTCACGTGTCAAGTGAACCAACAACCAAACCTCGTAAAAATGTTTAATGTGTGGGTGAGGTTCTTTGATTAATTAAAGAAAGATACGACTTGCTTGTCGACTCCAACCCCGATTGATAAGAAGCTTATGTGGATACTTACAGATGGGCTTGGCTATCCTGGGGCAATTAGCGAAAGTAACTAGAAATCATTTTTAATTTTTTTGGACACCATTATAAAACGATTCAATTTTTTTTTACTTATTATAAGCCAGTTCTTTACTACATCGTTGCACTAGATCATGTCGTTGTTATTCTTTTTTTTTATTGGGTGTCGTAAGAAGCAACTTAGAGTAATGGCAGAAAGATATTTTGTCTTTCGATAGATGGCGCTATAATTCATGGTGAATTTACCGTTACCGTTACCGTTACTGCCTATTAAAGTTCACTGCTGTACATATACCTCCCATAGATTTCCTCGAAGGAAATTCATTATATATCCCAATGTGAAATGGTTGCTACGCTTGGTAAGCGGGTTGGCAACCGCAGATTTTTTTTAGTCGTTATTAGGAAGACTCTGCTGTCCATCTCCTGATTTGTTTACCTCTGTCGCCTCTTACGACACCCACGGGATTACATGTGGTAGGGAACATCCTTACACCGCCACTATAAGGTAAGTCATGACTTTATTAGATGTAAAATACACCGGCGAAAGAAAACAGCGTCCAAGATACGTAAAGTACTCTCTAGTGAAATCGCGACTCGCTACAGCGATCGCCTAGGCTCCTTTGAAACGTGTTGATTAATGAATAATTCCTATTCTCTGACAGAGACCTATATCCAACACTACTGCACCTGTATCTAATATCAGTTTTGCACTGCTGCTCGGTTGCTGTGTTTGAACGATAACAAAGTCATAATAATTACAGGTTACGATGCGTTTCATGTTAGTTTTCATGGCTGGCAAGCTTCTTTGTTCGAAGTTTTTTAGAAGCGTACATGGTTTGCCGTAGTCACATCACGTGGAAGAATGGCTCTTTTGGCACTCTTGTATTAAAAAAAAAAACTTCACGTCAGAAGAGAAAACTTTTTAGCTTCACAAACTTGTAACAATTTTTTTTGGGTTAGTAAGAAATATTTTTTCGGAAGTTGTTTTATTAGAAATTAGTTTTAGCAACCTATTAACGTAGTAATTTAATTTTC